CAGACTCTTTTCTTTCAAAAGCTCTCTGTTTTGAACCTTCGGTTTTTTTCAGTTTTTGGCCTGTTTTGACCTGAAAAAAGAACTTTTTCCAAACAAATTATACATGGTTAGAATCAGCACGTTGCGGCGCATCTATCAATGCAATAAAATCGAAAAAAAAAGCGCTCGAATGTTGAATTTCCGGAACCTTACAATATACTTAATAACACAACTAAGGACAAATAGATGTTTATCTCTAGATAGAGAAGTTCTTAGTAATCAGAGATCAAGATTTATGTGTATTTGCGGGTGTATGGTTAAGAGTTTTCACTATAGGATAGATTGTAGTGAACGATATAACACATAGTATAGAAAATAGTGCTGACTGTTTCTACGCATCCACATACACAAATATTCGATCTACATCAGTTCCTTTTGATGTAAGTCATCTTAAAGTGTCGAAAAATTAGCTCGAATTCTATTGAAAACCACGTCGATGAAATGATCGACATTGTATACACGGTAGTGAGATATTTTGATATTATAAAACATACAAATTTTTTTAAGAGGTATATTTATTCTATATGGTCAAGAAGTATTGAACATTTACTTTTAAAGTATAAGGAAAGAATGAACAGAATCTAAAGTTCTTTGTTTAAAAATAAAATCTGCGTAAAAATATATGGAACGGGATCTCTACGTTAAAGATAAACATTCGGGTGTTGTGGAGCATTTCCTGGAATAATAAAAATCAATTTATGCATATCATACTGTTTTAGTAAATCCATCTAATCTAAAATATCTAGCACTTCTCTTTACTTGACAAGTATACTGTACCTGAAACAAGAAGAGTGACACAGTATTTGCAGATGTACAATATATTTTTCGCAGTGTCAGATTCTGAAGAATAAATTATGCTACAATGCTTTTCCATCGTGGATATACCTTCACAATTTCTTTTGCATGTTTTGTAACAAAAGATATGGAGGGCAAGTTAGGTAGTTTTGCGTTTCACGGTAGAATCAATGGATTTTCAACGGAAAACGTATCAGTGAGTTATCCGAAATTTTTTCCACCATTTTGTTTTCTGAAATTGTGATAAGGGGTTTGTGAGACTCTTGGTCCTCCGCAGGATTTTTGAAAACTTTTTTCCTTTGATTTTTTCGAAGATCGGTTAGATGTGAAGTTTAACACTAATTATGAATATCATGTAACAATGAAAAAGTTGAATTTTCATGGTGAAAAGTGGTTTTTTGCTATTTTCGAACTATTTTTCGGATTTGAAAAATGTTTCAGAATGTGCAGCAATGTTTACTGTTCGCAATATGAACTTCAAACTAATATCTGTGTGTATTAGTCGAAAAATTCAAGATTAGACTCTAAAATCGAAAAAGCATAATTTATCTCAGTATTTGTCCGTTGTATTAGAAGAAAAACTTGAAACAATACGAGATTTACACTATGAATGTAATTTTCACTGCTCCATCGAATGACAAAAGTTTAAAAAACAAAAGAGATATATGTTTTTTGGAATTTAGGATTTACGTGATTTTTAAGCAGGTTTTTGGAGCTAGTTCGTAAGTTTCGTCATTCATACAACTTTTAATCTCAAATGCAGCAGATAAAAAGTGAATTGAACACTAGGTGTTTCATTTTACAGAAATTTCCTGGAACTCTGTATTGAGTCACGAACATTTTTTAATAAACTATTGATTAGAGTTTTGATTGTTAAAAAATCAGAAATCGTAATAATTTGTGCTATTTCTCTTTTAGGTGGAAATTTCGCTGCTGTGTTAGCTCAACGTTTTGTTGACGAGGGTTATTCACCAAAATCACAAGTATTAATCTATCCTGTTCTTCAGTTTTTTGATTGTATGTTACCATCTTACATGAAAAACAATGCTCAAATATTTCGCTATGGAAATATGGCCGATATTCTATCCATTTACTTAAATAAAACAATCACTTCCGATATCTTAGGCAATAATCATACAACGCCTAAAGTGAAAAAGCAATTTGAAAAATATGTAGATTGGTCTCTTATCCCATCCAATTTACGTGATGGAAGAAATCCAGTAGAACCCAATTATGGTAGTGAAGAATTATATGAAAAAGTACAACAAGCGCTTACTAAAGACATATCACCGTTACTCGTTGATGATAAACATTTAAAAAAGTTACCACCTACCTATATAGTATCGGTTGATCATGATAGACTACGAGATGAAAGTTTTATCTATGCAAAGCGACTAGAGAATGTTGGTGTCAAAGTTGTACATCATCATTATGAACATGTATTTCATGGTGCATTTAATTTTCTCTACGGTTCAACAGGATTAAAAGTAGCCCATATAATGATGAACAATACTGTGAAATATCTTCTAGAAAATATTTAATCAACTACATTTCTTTTCTCCGTCTTATTTACGGCCTTTTTTATTTTTGTACGTTTGCCGGTTGTCTTATACCGATTGTTTTTCTGAGGTGCAATGCATATTTTACAAATTTGTGATAATTTATCAGAAATATAGCTGATTTTGACCATTGGTAATGTAAAATTTAGTAAAATAATTTTGTTTTTGTACAATATTTTTTATTATTCTTTGCTATAATAGATAGAACATCAGCCATAGTTCCATAGAGAATATACTTGGGCATTGTGTTCCATATAAGATGGTAACATACAATCGAAAAACTGAAGAACAGGATAGATTAATACTTGTCACTTTAGTGAGTAACGCTCATCAACAAAATGTTGAGTTAACACAGCAGCAAAATTTTCACTTAGAACAAAAACAGCATAACTCTATACGATCTCTGGTTTTTTAACAATCAAAACTAGAGTCAATAG